TTCTAGTTAAGTGAGAATAATGCTTAATCATTTTTGTCTTTTCTATAAAGCTATAAAAACAAACTCCCTGCCATGAAGTTGATGTCAACTCCTAGCAACCCTGTAAGACATGTTAGAATCACTACTGTGGGCAGGAGTAGAAAACCCTGACTTTCTCCCCTACAGCAGCTGGTGATTTTGAACTGCTAACCTTGGGGACCACAGCCCAACTCGTAACCACTGCTCCCACCAGGGCTCCTTTCTGTAAAGCTGGAGGGTGGGGTTGGAGAAATATCTGTTGATGACTTTAAGAGCTATTAGGAGCTTGGGGAAGATGAAGGAGGTCTCCAAGAGCCATTGTAATAAATAAAGATAAATGGGCAAGGGATTAAACAAATAAAACATTATTCTCAAAACATTTGCTCTCCACTTAAGCCCCTGGCATCATCATTTCCCCCTCCCTCATGAACCGTGATAATTTACAAATTATTATTTTGTCATATCTTACACTGACGTCTCCCTTCACCCACTTTTCTGTTGTCCGGTCCCCCATGGAGGAGGTTATATGTAGATCCTTGTAATCGTTTCCCCCTCTCTACCCTATCCTACCTCCACCTTCCCGGTATCGCCACTCTCACCACTGGTCCTGAAGGGATCATCTGCCCTGGATTCCCTGTTTCCAGTTCTTATCTGTACCAGTGTATTTCCTCTCGTCTAGACAGATTTGTAAGGTAGAATTGCTGACTCCACTCCTCACCGCGACCCTTCTGTAAGGGGATATTCAGTTGCCTACAAATGGGTTTTGGGTCCCCAACCACACTCTCCGTCATTGACAATGATATGATTTTTTTGTTCTTTGATGCCTGATACCTCATCCCTGCAAAACCTCGCGATTGCACAGGCTGGTGTGCTTCTTCCATGTGGGCTTTGTTGCTTCTGAGCTAGATGGTCGCTGGTTTAATCTTCAAGCCTTTAAGCCGCCAGACGCTAAATCTTTTGATAGCTGGGCACCATCAGCTTTCTTCACCAAATTTGCTTATGCACCCGCTTTGTCTTCAGCGATTTTGTCAGGAAGGTGAGCATCATGGAATGCCAGTTTAATAGAAGAAAGTATTCTTGCATTGAGGGAGTACTTGAGTGGAGGCCCAATGTCCATCTGCTACCTTAATACTAATCTATACATATATGCACATAGATCTATTTCCACATCATATATTTACATGCCTTTATCTAGACCTCTATATATGCCCTTTGCCTCCTAATTCTTTCCTCTATTTTCTTTGACTTTCCTCTTGTCCCACTATCATCCTCAGCCTTCACTTGGGTTACAGTAATTCCTCTCGGTTACATTACCCTTTCCTACGCCTTAACAGGCTTCCTACACCCTCCTCACCACCGATTTGGATCACTTGTTCCCTTGTCCCTGGGTTTGTTAACACCACTTCCTTTCCCCCCTCACCCATGTCCCCCCGGAATTGTTGGCCCTGCTTTTTCCTCCAGATTGTTCATTCAGAATATTTTACTTAGACAGACCTGCAGAGATAATAACACACACACAAAAACAAGACAGAGCAAAACCAAGCAACAAAAGAAAACACCACCACCACCACCAACCCAATAACAAAAAAACAAAACAAAATACAACAAGAAAGAAAAGCCTGTTGTTAGTTCAAGGACTGTTGGCCTTTAGGAGTGTTTTCTGGTCAAGTCTGATGGGGCGCCAAGCCCTCGCCCCAAAGTCTATTTTTGGTATTCCCTGGGGACTTCGTTGCTCTGTTCCCCTTGTTGCTCTGTTCCACGCCCTTAGTGTTTTGCCTCAGTGTGGTGGGATCAGATCGGATGGAATTCCCACACTGTGTCTCCAGTGTTGTCCACGGTAGGGCTATGGGTCAGTGAGGGATGTTGTCTCATAGTGAGGCCGGCCACATGGTCTTCTCTGTGGATTGGCTGCTCTGAGCGGGATTATCGTCCTCAAGGCTTGGTGGGCCATGATGTGCTCCACTCTCTTCCTCCCCCTTCATTTGCTCCCGTGTTCTCTGATCAGAAGACATGTCCCTCTCCCTGAGCTGCAGATTCAGTGCTGTCCTCTGAAGTGAAATCTTCTGGGGGGAGGGCCAGGTATCCACTTAGTTGGGATTGGGGCCAGCCCCTCAGACCCCTCCACAGTTCCCTACTCCATGCTCTTTGCTAGGTATTTTATGATATCTAATTAACCAATCCTAACAGCACTGTAGGATAGAACTTACAGTTCTGACATTACAGATGAGAAAACCAAAGCTCACGGAGGTTATTTTGTCCAAAAGATTAAAAAAAATTTGATTCTAAAGTATGTGCTCTTTCCACTAGGTCTGTTTACATTCCCTAGGACTGCCATAACAAAATACCAAAATATTGGTGGCTTTGAAGAACTGACGTTCTCCTAATGCTGGAGGATGGCAATCTGAATTAGGCATGGCAGGGTTCTGCTGTTTTTTAATCATTTTATTAGGGGCTCATACAACTCTTATCATAATCCATACATACATCAATTGTGTAAAGCACATTTGAACATTCATTGCCCTCATCATTCTCAAAATATTTGCTCTCCACTTAAGCCCCTGGCATCAGCTCATTTTCCCCATCCCTCATGAAACTTTGGTAATTTACAAATTATTATTTTTGTCATATCTTACACTGTCCGATG